GGATGAACTCTACTCTGGTGGCGGGCGGTGCGATGGTAAAAACGAGATGATGGTATCATCTCGAACAATTGAGCAGTTTTCAAATTATATTTTTTAGGTTTCCGTAACAACTGAACTGCTGACGGCTATTACTTATTTCCATTCATTCGTATTACCAATAACTTTACTTAATCCCTTAATTAAAACAAAACCTTTTTACGATCTAAAGTACTGTTTTGCATATTGAAATCACGCACGGATAGTCACCAATTTTACCTATAAGCAAGCAAGCGATGTATTCCGGCTTAAGATACAACCAAACGTGCCAACTTACAGTGCGTCCTATTTTCCGTTCGTACGTCGTTCGTAGGTCATCATCCTGCCAATTTCAGACGCAATAGCCGTTACACAATAAACACAACTGAGATTTCGACCCCATATCTCAAGGTGGGTAGCAATAATCACGTTGTGATATTTTTCGGCTCCGGAATGAGGGTATAGCCTAAATACATAAAAATGTATTACTTTAAGGTATCGGAATCGAAATATTATTAGCTCTACATTGTTTTATTAAATAGGAGTTGTCATTGCCTTGTTTATAGTCTTATTCTAATTCAATGTTGGATGCAACGATTTTTAAATACCGTCGATCACAACAAAACCGTGTCACCTAAGTGATACTTAGAGAAAGTTCAAGTAATTTTGTTTCGACTGAACCATTATTATGTTAAGGGCATACGGCTCGCCTTATGGGTGGCCTTCATAGCTTATTGACACGCCATGCCGTCGAATACTGATTATCAGTATCACTGATAATTACAACCCACAAACCGAGTGGATGTCTTCGGTATTAATGGAATACACATTAACATTAATGATCGGTTTTTATTGTAAATATATCACTTATTTTTAGAAAACCTTTCGCATGAAATTTTGTTTCCAGAAAGAATTAAAATTGTGGAGGTATACGACAAAGGGTTGAAAAAAATTGATATTACTTGGTAGATCGACGCGACGGTCCGAATGTTGTTGTACGGAACTCGTATATATGCAAGCTTATCTTGAAAATGTCATAAGGGAGATTCAGGCATCTGTCAAATATCTTATGTTGTATGATGGTTACCCGCCACAAAATTATTTGCAAAATGTTTTGAAACGCCTTTCCAAATTGAGTCTTGGAATGACTTATCTTCTTTTCTCCTTTATTCTGAATTAAAATTTGCTATTGACTTTAAGTATTTGACTTTTGCTTAGCACTTTGGCTTATCTTCATGACATCCGCAGACCGACAGGCCACCATTGACGATCACCAGTCTCAGTTTTGTCAGATTCTGGGGTCGACCGTGGATTGTGAAGAGTAATGGAGCGAAGTGTCAGTTCTAAGCGAAAATCCTGCGATTTTTTCCTAATACTGACAAATACTTTTACAGAACGTATATAAAAAAGAGGAAACATCTCACGCATCGCTTATTTGTATGCACACTTGTGTTCTTCGAAAATTCTTACGGGGTTAAGGCTTGGTCATTAAGAAAGCCGACTGAAAATGTACTTACGCTTTGAGATGCTGTGCTGGAAAAAAATTATAAACATTCCTTGAATGATAGATTTTGCCAATGTACGAAACACTGGTGATAGAACCTCTTGTGAGTCCGCACGGGTTGGTAACACCACCCTGCCTATTTCTGCCGTGAAGCAGTAATGCGTTTTGGTGTAAAGGGCGGGACCGCCGTTGTAACTAGACTGAAACCTTAGAACTCATATGTCATGGTGGGTGGCAGCATTTACGTTGTAAATGTCTATGGGCTCCAGTAACTACTTAACACTAGGTGAGCTGTGAGTTCGTCCACCCATCGAAGCAATAAAAAAAAATCTTGTGAGAACTGAATACTCAGGCGAAATTGTAGGCAATTTATCTCTAATATTTCGGTCATCTTTCCAGGAAAAAGACTGGCAACCTATAGAAGCACATGATCAAAAGACAAGATCGGAGAGAGAGGTCCCGTAATGCATTAAACACATATAACAGTAAACAGGCACCAATGGTGCACAATAATTCGTCAGTTGGTACCATTTAACCCTCAGCAATAAGAAAACGAAGTTATATTTATATATTCTCATTTAATTAGGAAATGGGATGTAAAAAATCAGAGTGGCAGTGAATAATTTTTAAGAGTCTTCAAAACATGATCGAAAGACCTGTGTTTGTAGTATTTTGTACTATCGTAAGTAGTACCTAATGTATCGTGTTGAAAACAAAAAAATTACAGCATAGTGCCGAAAAATTGTATAAACATAAAGAGAACTATAACAAACAGAGAGTCAAAATTTTAATGTAAGCGCTCTGAAGCTCTGAAGATGCCTTAAGAGTTGTTTGAAAACGTCAAGGTCAATAATTTACGTAAATCATACCTCAGAGGGAGTGTTATCAACAAACTAGTGTTACGTTTTTTGTGAAAAATGTGTACCGAATTCCATCAAAGTTTATCAAAAGACAGCCTTAGAGCGCACGGTGGTACAATTTGAAAAATGTACCATGTACCTTCCAGCAAGCATTTGCTCCCAAAAACTTATTTTAGTTATTTCGGCACGTGAAAGAACTATTCGTTTTATTAATTTCAAATTCCATATTATAAATGGAATACCGTTTCAACCCAAATAAATTTCAAAACATTTTTGATTTCTATAATTAACGATTAAATATTCTGATAGCATTTCTCAAATGATCGAAATAACGATTTAATGAACTGGTGGATACGTTTCTTGACGCAGTTGACTTGACTACATGCAGGACATGCCACGGTCACCAGATGGGTCATGCAATAAATATGTGGATGTCGCGAATCCTTAAGCTTATTGTCGATTATCAAGATATGTTTTTTTTACGACTGTTCGGGAAAGCTCAAAGTCTAAGCTACACTGGACCTACTTTCCTCGTAGTAAAGCTACTAACACTTTGGAAATGAGAAATCTGTAACAGCTATTTTACTACAATTTATTAATGGGTCTTTTACAATACTGGTCATTTAAAACGTAAATTATGTATGACTGGCAATCATTTTTCTTTCATCTTTTTTTATTCAAATGAATTTTATTTAAAACTAGCTGTCCCGGCAGACTTCGTAGTGCTTCAATCGATAAATAAATTACTTAAACTGTCGTATAAAATAAACTTAAAACAAACAAAAGGAATCCGTCCGACGGGGGACACATCAAAGGAAAAACATAATTGATATTTTTATTTAATTCCGAGCATTTTCATATTTATCTACCTTTTAAACCTTTTCTGGACTTCCACATATAATTCAAGACCAAAATTAGCCAAATCGGCTGAGCCGCTCTCGAATTTTAGCGAGACTAACGAACAGCAATTCATTTTTATATATAGAGATATATGGAATTATGCTTTTAGATTTAGTCATATTTTGTGTATTGATTAGTGTTCTGTTTTCACTACATATCTTTTTCATCAAAATACGATAAAAATAAACGAGTAATTATGGAATACGAGTTCCGTCGCGGTAGCAATACCGCATATACGGCTCACAGCTTTATTAGCGTGTACTGAGTGAACACTAAAAATGAACGCACGACTCGTTATTGGTTTTAACGTTACCGACATGGTAATTTTGATCCAAAAACTGAATCCCGTGGTCGCCCGAATACTAAAGTCAACAAAGGTGAATTAAAGGCGATAGCGGAAACTGACGATGCTCAATCTACCGCTGAGTAAGCAGCAGCTATCAACGTTAGCATCAAAATGACATTGGTTAATTTACGTCAAATTGACATGGTAAAAAAACTTGATGAGATGAGGATTTTGAGCCGCATTGTCACTTGCGAATTGCGATTAAAAATGGATTTATCTTTATAATCATAAACGGTTATATCATATTGGTAAGATTGGTTCAGCACCTGGGCAAAGTCCCAAACGAAAAAAATACGTCTAAAAGGTCATTGTTTGATGGTTTATTACCGGCATAACTCATTCTGATTTTTAACAAATTACATCAGGATCACTGCAAATGTGTACTGTGAGGAGCTGGATACAATGATGGAAAAGTTCCTAAACCTCCGATCAGCCTTGGTTAATCGCTGGTCTCCGCTGTTCCTACAGGACACGCTACACGAGTTATGGTTAGAAGTTTTGCGCTATGTACCGTACTAACCAGACCTTGCTCCGAGATTCTACTTGCTCCAAAGACGAGACAACTTCTTAGCAAAAATTCAATACCTGAGAGGTAGTACAAAATGCCTTTGAAGAGTTTGTTGGCTACCGTACACCCGACTTCTTTAAGAAGGGTATTGAACAATTACGCTGGCAGAGATGTATCAAAAGATGATTCTAACTTTATGTATACTAAATAGTTTGGTAAGTAAAGACCTAATATTATGAATATGCTGTTTTCAAGAACAAACTAAGAAAGACCTTTCAAAATGTTGGAGCATGTTCGAGTTGTGACGTATATATTATTATTATTATATTATACAACGCATCATTATTATTTTTGAGGAAAATGTTACCAATTAGTACTGAATTAGTTACTGGTAATTTTAGTTTCATTTTTTTTTAAATATCGTCGGTAACGGACTAACTTACAAATTTTCCCGAACGTAAATTACCGTCTCTCATCATCATCAGTAACGACAGGGGCATAGCCAAACCGTTTCCCATCGCCAAAGACTCATAACGAACCCCAAAATACACTCTTTTATAAGGTAAAATAAACAACACAGTGAAATGTAAATCCAAAATACATAATTATGTAAGTTGTTTAAAACAAATAAGTTTGTAAGTATATTTGTGGTCCGGAATCTTGTTATGTTTACCTTTGACTTCAAATGAGTGTAATTATTGCATTTATTACAATATATTTTATACCCGTTTTGAAACATAAGATACCAAGGGACGAAAGTTTCGGGCAAGTGTTTTCCCAGCCCTTAACAAATAAGACAGACATGCCCCCACCTTCGTTTTGTTTCAATAACGAGCGGATCTTTGGATACATAACTAATAAAATTACCATGAGTAAGTATGTTGATAGTCTCGTTGTGGAAATAGAAGAGGCTTCGAATGCAGTCTGTCCAGCCTTGTAGTGGTCGATAGCCAGTAAGAACATACGGGTTGAACTGAAGGTGTTGCGGCATGTCCCGCCAGTGCAATAACTCTACACCGCAGCTGGTTCCAGTGTCCCTTTCTTTAGTTTCATTCCTTTTATCATCATTCTCATGAAAGTCTTTGATGTTTAGGTTTGACCGATCCTTCTCCAGATCATCGCTATGTCGTTCTAACGACTTTTTTCTCTTCTTAGGGCCCTTACCGTTTATTTCTTGAATTGACATATCGTACATTTTAGTAAAAGATTCAGATAAACCTTGCTCTCATAACCTAGCAACGTCGATAAGTTTACGACGCTGAACAAGGGGATGCTGCGGCGTGGTCCAGTTCGTAGAATCACCTTCCCGCATAACCATGCAAAGCAATGCTTTTAATTGGTAATAAAATCACGGTAGCAGCTTTTGAAAGATCATGGAGAAGGTTTATTGTTCTTAGTTTAATGGTGTTCTGTGAAGCCGGGTGTAGTGGCGGTCGCGGCGAGGCCGGGAGCGGGTCGGCGCGTGGTTGCGGCCGCGGAAGCGCGCGACTGGCCGGGCGGGCGCTACCACACGGCACCGTAGCGCGCCTCGCACCCCTGCCCCTTACGATTTTGCGCACTGCGCAAACCCAATCAGCTGATTCCCGCCAGGACATTATATTTCCTCTAGCCCTTTTTGTGAAGACGATATTTTCAATAATCTTGCATTGTGGTAGCTAATATTATTGGTGTGCGACTAATTCGTGTACCAAAAATATTTATATCTTGATTTATAAGGATTTTAGCATTTTAAGGATTAATTTCAAAAGACACGTGATTACTAATATTATCTGTTATGAATGAGCTTTAAGAAATAATGCAGTTAACTATATATTTTGCATAGATACTTACTATTAATCAATAGTGAGACTAGAATAATAATTATTAAAATCAGCGTTTTCAACTGAGAGTTTGAGTAGTCAAAGTCGGGTCTGTGGCAAAAACCCCTCCGTCACTGGCCCTCGCGACTAGGGGGTCAAGACAGAGTATAAAATTAGAGGGGGTCATCTAACACTGGCTTATATAAATAAGCGCCATCGCCTGCCGAGAAAAACATTGTTTTTACCAGTCCTTAAACCGATATAAAAAGTACACTAAGCACTGATATGGAAAGTAAAAGTCCTCCTAACAAGAACCGTGACATGTCGGTGAAAGATCAGTCCTTCTGCACCGCAGGCACTCCCGGGAAATGTAAGACTCACCAAAAGTCGAGCGTTGCCTTTCATCACCCTTCACCGTGACGAATCGTAACCCTTAAACATATATCCTATATCATAAATCTACAACAGTTTTATAATTTTGAGATATTTATCTATCTTGTAATACATATTGAAGTCGTCGTGGCCTAAAGGTAAGACGTCCGGTGCATTCGTGTTGAGCGATGCACCTGTATTCGAATCCCAGGTGGGTACCTATTTTTCTAATGAAATTCGTACTCAACAAATGTTCACGATTGACTTCCACGGTGAAGGAATACGAATTAATTCTCTCGTAGTCGTGTCAATTAAATTTACAAAACGATTTTGATATTCTTCAATAATATCAAAAATAATCTCCAGAAAAAATGGTTTACTAAGCTCTGTAACTATGGCTATCGTGTTGCCGTAGTTGCCAAGGTGGGTGGCGCATCTACAACGTAAATGCGCCACCCACCTTGAGATATAAGTTCTAAGGTCTCAATTATAGTTACAACGGCTGCCCCACCCTTCAAACCGAAACGCATTACTGCTTCACGGCAGAAATAGGCAGGGTGGTGGTACCTACCCGTGCGGACTCACAAGAGGTCCTACCACCAGTAATTACGCAAATTATAATTTTGCAGGTTTCATTTTTATTACACGATGTTATTCCTTCACCGTGGAAATCAATCGTGAACATTTGTCGAGTACGTATTTCATTAGAAAAATTGGTACCCGCCTGCGGGATTCGAACACCGGTGCATCGCTCAACACGAATGCACCGGACGTCTTATCCGTTAGGCCACGACGGCTTAAGTTCTTCTAGTTCTTTTTTTCAACATGGCCATTGGCTCCAAGCGATGCCATTAGTGTAAGTCGCGTTTATACAATTTAAAATAAATGTTTTCAATGAAAATTGTAGGAGAGTAAAATGAAGTTGATTTACTTGAAATTGTAATAGATTGGGATCAAATTGAACGAAATGCAAAGAAACGCGATAAAACATTATTATATAATGTCCCAGTAAAATGATGGTAGCGTACTTAGACTTCAGCAGGCTTTTAACGGGAAGCTGTGAAGCCACATCCAGTAACTTTATTTCATTTTCCAACACGTGTGCAACAACAACAGTCCATTGTTACATGTCTCAACCAGAAGAAACAATAAATTAACAAATAAAACATTTCTTATTATTATTGCCTAAGCAGGCAGACGAGCATACGTCAGCAATGCCAGGGGTAGAGTCAAGCCACTGCCTACCGCACAAGCCTCGTTTCAAGAAGGACATGTCAAAGCGCTCAAGAAACACCGTGAAGGGGAGCTCATTCCAAAGTCGGATGGTACGTCGCAAAAATGATATCTGGAAACGCACTATGGATGAACGCAGTGGCTTCAGGTAGTATGGATGGACTCTACTCCGGTGGCGGGCGGTGCGATGGTAAATACGTGATGATGGTATCATCTCAAAAAATTCCTCAGAGCACTCCCCATGAAAGATACGGTACAAAATACAAAGAGAACCGAAGTCCCTTCGCAGACCCAGAGGTTCCAACCGATCCGTGAGAATGGGATTATCGACAGTCCAAACGGCTCTCTTCTGTATGAAGTCAAATGGAAGTAGCTGGTATTTGGGAGCCCCGGCCCAGAGATGGGAACAGTACTCCACGCGAGGCTGGACCTGTGCTTTGTAAAGCAAATGTCTTTGTCCAGGCGTGAAGTACCGCTTCGCTCTGTTGAGGACTCCCGGCATTTTTGAGGCCAACTTGGCTTTGCCCTCCAAATTACTCCCAAATTGGACATCGCTCGAAATGTCTACCCCAAGTATACCAATACTCTTGGAAGGTTGCAGGGTAACTCCTTGGAATTGCGGCACCATGGCAAAGGGGTTCTTTTTCGCAGTGAACGCGCAAACTTGTGCCTTTAGCCTGTGAACCTAGTTCAATTCACCCCACTCGGAGACTCGCTCCAGAGAGCACTTCAGACACAAGCTTAGATCGTCTCTCCTGTACCACGATCCGAGAAAGACTCTGATGGCCGATATATCGCGCATCCCCGTATTGTCATCCGCATAGCAATGCATGCCATCAATGGATAGCATGTCCTTGATATACAGGATGAAAACCGTGGGGGAGAGCACCGAACCCTGTTGAACGCCAGCGTTAATGGTCGTGGTATCGGAGCAACAACCGTCTATAACGACAGTGATGCTCCGCCCATCCAAAAAGCTAGCGATCCACCTGCAGAGCCCCTCGGGGAATCCGTAAGCTCTCCAAGGCTTCGGCCCACCTGTGATTAAGGTAACTCCAATTTTTTTTTCTTATATTTTTTTAATTGTAGTAATGCACTTATCGCGATGCCAATGTTGCCAGCATTGAGCTTATTATATATTTAATTATTGAATCTCAAAAAAAAACATTTTTTGAGAAATGAAATACAGTGGAATTAAATGAAATTTTTTAAATGAAATGGTAATTGGCATTGACTGAAGAATATGATTTGTGATTTAAACTTTTTTACAGAAAATTTTTGCTAATTAAAAACGATTGAATTTCTTTTTAATATTCCTTAAACTTATGTTTTAATGAATAGAAAATGTCATCGCTATTAAAGATGTCAACAAGACAGATTGGAAACGTCAGGTCTCAAATTTTTTTATCTATGACATATCGTATGAAGAATCTATCTGGACTTATTGGCGGGAACGCGAGGAGTGAAGTTGTGTGATTTGTTTTATTTTGTCTATTTAGTGCTTCTTCGGGTTTAAATGTGTAATAATGGTGGTTTATTAACTGTTTAATATCTGTGAAAGTGCATAAATGTGGGAAACTGAAACAAAGCCGCTGGACGTAACTTCTCATGATCCTCCAAAAAGTCCACTGAAAAAATCTTAGTAAATGACCACCATTTTACTGAGATTATATTTCATCTCATATCATCTCATTTATTTCATCCCACTTGATTAATGTCTCAAATTAATCATCTTCATTTCATTTCACTCCATAATATCATTTTTCATAAAAATATGAATATACATTAAAATAAGACATGACTTAAAGGTCTCAGTTACCAGGTCATAAACTCCCTTAAAAAATATGACTGATGTAGACTTTTTGGCGGGAACGCGAGGAGTGAAGTTGTGTGATTTGTTTTATTTTGTCTATTTAGTGTTTCTTCGGGTTTAAATGTGTAATAATGGTGGTTTATTAACTGTTTAATATCTGTGAAAGTGCACAAATGTGGGAAAATGAAACAAAGCCGCTGGACGTAACTTCTCGGGATCCTCCAAAAAGTCCACTGAAATTTTTTTAGTAAATGACCACCATTTTACTGAGATTTAAATTCATCTCAGTTGATTGCTTCAAATTAATCATCTTCATTTCATTTCATTTTACTTCATATTATCATTTTTCATATAAACGAATATAAATTAAGACTTGACTTAAAGGTCTTAGCGTCCAGGTCAAAAAAACCCTTAAAAAATACCAACAGACTGGACTTTTGGCGGGAATGCGAGGAGTGAAGTTATGTGATTATATTATCTATTTAGTATTTCTTCAGGTTTAAATGTGTAATAACAGTAGTTTATTAACTGTTTAATGTCTGCCAAAATGCACAAATGTGGGAAAATAAAAAAAGCCGCTGCACGTAGCTTCTCGGCATCATCCAAAAGGTCCACTGAAAAAATCTCAGTAAATGACCACCATTTTGAGATTATATTTCATCCCATATAATCTCATTTAATTTCACTCCATATTATAATTTTTCATAACATAAAATAAGACATGACTTAAAGGTCTTAGTTACCAGGTCATAAAACCCCTTAAAAAAACCACCATACGGTGATTCTGAATTACTGTTTATCTAAACTTTTTAAAGGGTAAATCTTAATCAACCTGTTTTTTTTTAAGAAGCAGAATTTATTTTTGAACCATTTTGTAATTTTTTTTAGTTAAGAATATTATTAAATCATTTATAACAGCCACTTTGATTTTGATACACTATAATTTGAAATACGTATGTTGACGCCATTGCTATCTGTCAAAAACAGCGACCAACGATCCAACCCGCTTGTCTTGGTTTCGGATCGATGTTCGGCCCTTTACTGCGACGAAGTATACTTCAAGGTTCAGCATCACGAACTTGGAATTGTTTAACAAATTTTACTCAACTACTTTGGTGTAAATTAAAACATTTACGTGAAATCAGGGTAAGTTAAAACTTTAGTCAACATAAATGTCACAACTATCAGTGCCTAGGGCTCCACTGGAGTCACGGAGAAACCAACATGGCGTCCTCATGTAAATAACTTATGACATTTGATGCATTGGCCACATGAATCG